GTCCCTTCCAGCCCTAATGTCTATGAAATCTATGAATATCAAATCATTTTAAGGGAAAAAATTGATTCCAAACTTTTCAGAAACCTGCCTGCAAGTGGTCTCTCCAAGTTCTCACTTCTTTTTCCAGCCCTTGAATATTGCTTTGGGTACAGACAGATGTAACAACTGTATCAATATCTTTTAATATTGATCCAAGCTGTTAGGATCTAAGTCTTGCAAGTTTAGCAAAACCACTTCAACTTTAACCCCACCTCATTCAGGGTCAACCTTAGGGTGATTTGTATCACTTGTATTACTACAGGATCTTGCAGACTGAACAATTAGATCATAATAGCTGCCGCCCACTCCTGAGCAGCAGCTCCTTTTCCCCAAAGGAGCTAAAATATATTTGTGTCCTCATCCTTGGTCTGCACTGTTGTAAAGATACTTCAGATAGAAAAGCTATCAGACAGTGGATGGCTTTTCAACATTGACGACAGAGGTAAAACATCATGGCTGGAAGTTGAAACTAGACAAATTCAACTCTGAGATAAATACAGCTTTTTTAGCAGTGAAGTTAATTAAACATTGGAACAGCTTATCAGTGGAGGTGGTGGATTGCCATCCTTGGAGGCTTTAAAATAAGATTACATACTTTTCTGGAAGACCTGCTTCAATCTTCCTTCATGAAAAATATCTATGGCCTGTGTATAATCAGAGTATTTCCTCCAGGCCTAAGAGTCTATGAATTCTCCATGCAGTTCTAGCCAGGACCTCAGTTTTAAACTTCAGTAGAAAAATGACATCCATTACAAAAAACCCAACAAATGCAGGGTGAGAATAAAGACCTTTTGGTGGGACATGTTTGCAGGATTTCCACCCCTTTTCCAAAAGGCTCCTTTTCTCAGCTGATGCAGGAGTGCTCTTACTTCAGATGCTGCTGTGACCTAGTCTCAAAAGTCCTGAATCTGTTCCTCTTCAAAGAGGTGTGTGGATTGTTGTCGTTTAGATAATCTAATGCGAAATGCAGGCTCCTTCCTGCCTTGACTGAGCAACTGAACAACGCTCAACAAATACGATTACTAGTCCATACTCATCCACACTGGTAACTCTAACAAAGACAGGCTCAGGACTCAGGGACACACTGCACTGGCATTTTCTGTGTTTGCGACATACCACCAAACCTCCTTATTGGAGTGCTACATTTGTGTCTAGGCGGGTGCCCTTCCTGGTGACATTCAGCACACTAAATATAGTGCCACCGGGTCTGCTAAAGGCAGGAGAGCTATTCCTTTCCTTTCAAAACAAAGAAAGAAACAAAAAACCAAAGCAAAACATAAAAAGTCTGAACTGGGATCACCCTTCTCAGCTCCACAAACTCAACTTCTAAGACTTTGCTTGTGGCTTGAGCTTCACAAGCTCCCAGGAGAAGGGATCTGGAGGCAGATATGCAGCCTAAGCATCGAGGTGTTGCAAGTTGTACCTAGATGCTTCAGAAAAGGGCAGTTTTCCCCACAAGATCTTGTCCCCTGCTTTCCTGAAGGGTCTTTTTGTGCACTGAGTAGGGTTTTCTGGAGCCAATCAATGACAGGAGATGAACATACTCATTTCCAGGCCACGTGGCACAAGATTATGCCTAGGATTTGAACTTGGGTCTTTGGCAGAGAGAAACATACTGCACCTACTAGACTCTTGTTTTTAACCTTCAAATGTACTTCCCCCCCCCATTTTCACCTGCTAACACGCCAAAGTTTCACCCACATTAATCCAGAGGTGCACAGATTCATACTGGTTTAATATGGAAGGCTCAGCTAGTAGGTAGAGGGAAAGCTTATTGACTTCATTGCTGTTGGTCACAACATGCACTAATACTTAAAAATAAGGAAGTGAACAAAAAGAAAAAGAAAAGAAAAGGAAAAGCACCTGAATGGTTCTGACTCATGTACATCTAAGGCTGCCCCTCGTATCCTTCCTTCCTTCAGGGCCTGTGCAAGTGCTTTTTCGTCTACTAACCCACCTCGAGCTGTGTTGACCAGGAAAGCCCCTTGTCTCATCTAGGGAAAGTTAAAAACAAGAATGATGAAATAAAAATAAATGAAATAAAACTGTTGTGGCATTATTATTTACTCAAAGGAAGCATCTGTTACAACAAAGACTATTCAACTGGATTAACCTATCATCAGTTCTCTTTGTCTTCCATTGGAAAGTACCACAAAAATCTGATGCTTCAAAAGCAAAATACTGTTTCAGAGCACTTATAACCTTTTGTTTTTTCTTTACAAGCAGGGCTGTGTATAAGAGGACCAATACTTCATATGTTGTATAGTAACAGGATCAAATGATGCAAACATGCATGTGCAAACGAGACATCATTTTATTCCCTTTTTTATTTCACTGTGGAATTGAATACGGCAGAAGCAATAGCATATGTTTCTAAAGAAAATCACGTTTTCTGGATTTAACACTTTTACATGAATGAATGAACAAGCAACTTCCAAAAATGCATTTTTTGGAGGTTTCCAGACTTCTGTTTTGTTAGCAAGATGTAGTAAATTGAAGTTTTCCATTTACTTTGGCTCCCTTCTGCCCCCTCTCCCAAATGATTTTTCAGACAACATATAGGGAACCCCCCCTGTATTACTCAGTTAAGAGGCATGGGCTGGCAAGCCTTACAGAGGTTTTGCTGTGCACTGCTCAGATCAGAATTGTAAGCCTCCTCAACCAGTTTCAGCTATGAAACATTTGTCATGCTACATCTAGAACATAAAGCCAATGCACCAATTTCAGCGAGAAGGACAGTAAGAACACACACCTCAAGATCCTGTTCGATCCTAATAAACACCAATGCCTAAATATCTTTAGCACACATCTCGCATATAAGCCAGGACCCTGCAAACATTCCCATGCATGAAGACAAGCATGCACGTAAGTGTTTCTGGGATGACAGCCACAGTAAGGACAGGCGACCAAGGTCTGATCACTACAACAAAAAGGAGGTCTCTGAACATCAAATGAACTCCTGTAACTTATTCAGAAAACTGGCATCTTTGTCTACAAGGGGGAAAAAAATCCCTTATTATATAATTAGTTGCTCTTACACAACTAAAACTTGGGGGGCAGAAATGCTAAGTTCCTGTATAACTAGAGAACGACCTAGAAAAGGAATCCCCTAGCATGAATCTATCCTCTGGCAGGATGGTCGGAAACAGGAAGCAATTATGGTTTACATGCATCTAGTTACATTGTTACAAAAATCTATGTATTGCTTTGGCCAACCCGCTGTTCTAATTTCCATTTTTTTTTTCTCTCTCCACCCAAAGAGCCTTTGCCCTGCAGAGGCATGTACCCTTAAGTCTTCACAGAAAAACAGAAGACTGGTGGCAGCCCGAGTAAGCATGTTAACCATTTAGCCTGGAAACAAGAGTAGTGAAGACACGGTGCAGGAGGCTTCAGCCCAGGCTGCCAATCACAGCACAAGTCCTACATTCAAGCTGAAGCTTGTACTTCTAAAATCACTATTATTATCTATGCTGGTCAGAAGAAAGCTAGCTCAGGTGTGTTCATCCATGCTACTAACTACAGTTTCAGTTTGCTAGGTAGACATACCCTTCAGTTCAGGGAACTACCCACTTCAACACGAGCATAAGTAAAGGGCAGCATTTGGCCTTAAATACAGTCTAGCACACTTCTATATCCTGCTAAGGGACTGGGAATTTTAATAATAGAAAACACTTTCAAATCCCTCGTCCAGCCAGAATAGCCCTCGTTGACTTTTCATCTTCAATGCTATTTATACAGTTGTAAATCTTAGTAGTAAAACAAGCCCAAATTAAACAGAATATGGATACATAACTGCATTCTGAAGCAAGTGAATTGCATGAGTCGCAGCAGGGATGCAGCTTCAAAATGACTCTTTACAGTGGCTGGGAGCTTGAAAGAGAATGTCAGAGCTAATACTGCTGATTGATTGCTACTCTGATTCAGCTAAGTTAATCCTGTGCATCTGCTGTTTTTATACAATATGCATTTTATTTAAATACAGTATCTTCTTTTCAAATCTGAAGAGAATTGGACATCAAAAGAGGACTTTTGATCCTGGAAAAAAATACTGAGCACCCATTTTCTTGGGCAGTGTAGAACAAAATCCACCTGAACTATACAGGGTCAAGAAGGTGAAACGTATTTGCTGGGCAGTACACCAAAACTTAGAGGAAAAGCCATGAAAAGAGACGTCTGCCCCCATAGTTTTCAAAGAGGTTTCAAGGATGCTGAGTTTAAAACTCCACATGAAATTCTGGTTGGGCCTTTTAATGAAATGAGATTCATTTTACCTCTTTGCACATATGGATATGAAAACTTTTGTTATTTGAACACACAACACTGGGCAAAGTAGCATGATTTATTATACAAGCACTATTGGCCTGGTTGAGCATAGATAAACATGAAATGTTGGCCAGTTTGATATTTTTAACGTGATATTTGAAAGCATTTTGTCTGTGTCACTAGACAGCTTGAGAGAGACCATGCATGTTAGAAATGATGTGCTTTTACATTTGTACTGCTTTGAAATTTATTTGCATGTCACCTATTAGAACAAAGGTTAATTAACATTTGTTCATGAATTCCCTCCAAAGTTCTATTTTTATCTGAAGTAAAAAACAGCTAACATTTTATTTTAATTTTCACTAAGTAACAATATAAATGCATTAGACATTTTATAGGGGTGCAGGTGGTAGCTGTGTTGCTCTAAGGACATAGGCAGACAAGGTTCTTTGGGTGAATCCAATACCTTTTATCAGAACAACTTAAATAGTTGGAAAAATTTTTCTTAGCAAGCTTTCGGGTTTAAAAACCCTTCGTCAGTCAGAGGAAGCATCTGCAGCTGGTGTGTGCTCTTCCTGGATCGTGTGTGCTCTTCCACCCAGGAAAAGCACACACACACACCCCAGCTGCAGATGCTTCCTCAGCCTGACAAAGGGTTTTAAATCTGAAAGCTTGCTAAGAATATTTTTTCCAACTATTTAAGTTGTTCTGATAAAAGGTATCAGCTTCACCCAAAGAACCTTTTCTGCCTTAGACATTTCATAGATTTTTAAAGTTAATTTTGACTTTCAGATTCACCTAAAAATTGAGTGTATATCCTTTGCTCCTCTGCCTAACACACTAGCACTTCTTCACTGTACATCCTCCTTTTTCCACCTCAGCTCAGATAATTCCCATTATAAAAGGCACACAAAGGCCCCAATCCCACAATTCAGTGGAAGACAGAAACTCTGCTGACCTCGCAGGAATCCCAGCTGACTTCAGAAAGGGTCTATCTGGATGCAGGGATCCCCCCAAACAGAGGTGCTTAACAAATCAAGACTATTCTACCCAGTGTTATATAATCACATCATGGAAAAATAAATATGATGTACAAGCTGATGGTACAAGAACATGGAAAATAACAGAGGTCAACTTTCTTTCTGACTTATCCTCTGAATTAACAAGCATATTAAGATTTTAAAAATGGGCCTTGATCATCATCTCAGATTGGTCTACACAGACCCAAGTGTCCAGTCAGGACATATATTGTTACTTCTTATTTACATCTGAACAAGGACTTACTATATAGTATGTGGAGCATCTTCAACTCCTACTGAAGTCCCAGTGATATTAGTAGGCATAACAGATGCTTAGTATTTTGCAGAAGCCAAGCAGTTACTATTTTGGTTCAACAGAGATAAACCTCATATATAAATAAATGCATATAGTATATTTATTAACAGCATTCAAATTTAAAAAAAATGTGTGAGTATGATTCAGTTAGGATTATTTTACCATACAATACATTTTTGCATTTCAACACCTACAGTTTCTAATATATATCCACTTCATACACCCCAAGTTTTGCATCAGAAAACAGAATTTTAATGAAAGAAAAATATTGCCTACTGAGTAACTTGACAATGGAACAGTTATTTAGTATCTATGCTTTGAACACCTTATTTATTATTAATTAGTTTTGGAAAGATTCAGTCAAAAGTCAAATCCATTTATGCATAATCCAAATAACCTAATACTGTATTGTGACCAATTAATCAGTGAAACATTTTGTAAGAATTAGGACTGAACACAGGGGGGCACCAGTTAGTTACAAGGCTGAAGTTAGGTATAAAGAAAACCTCTAAACTGAAGTATAAAAGTGAAAGGCAAGTTTTGTTATTAGTAAAAAGAGTAGAAAGAGGAAGTGTCTATCTGCAGATCTCATAGAAGTGCTCTTAAATAAACACAGATAAATTAAGTAACTGAATCTTCACACCAGTTAGTAGATAACATTATTTCTACAAAAGAGAAGTTAGCAAGTATAATGAAAAAAGCAACAATACCATTTCTTTCCTAACCAATATAAACTTACTTAATAAGCAGTGAAATACCAAAGGGAAGAAAAAAATGTATTTAAGAACTGAATTTGCATGTTTACACTGAGAAACTCTTTAGTATGCAGAAAGTCAGTGAGAATAAAACCAAATCAATCTGGAGGGATACATATTGCATAGTTACCTGTTTTATGGTGAAGTCATTAATAAGATGATGATTGTGTTCATTCAAGTTGCAGTGTAGGGTTACACAGTCACTGTGAAATAGCAGATCCTGTAAAGTGCTCACCCGCTGCAGTCCAAGAGCACGTTCAATGCCATCTGAGAGGTATGGGTCATAAAAAATGACACTAAAGCCAAAGGCTTTTGCACGTAATGCCACTGCTTGTCCAACACGTCCTAGAGCAATCACAGACGCACAAAGAAAAAGGAATGCCGCTGATGTAAAATAGCTTTTTCTTGTACAATTATCATTGCAAAACATTCTTGCAGGACTAGGAACTTTACATGGAACAACACAGAAGAGAAAAAAGAAACATTTGTGACCCATCCTCATTTGGTTTATAACGTTATATTTAAGAGTTATATCATGCTACTGGTGATCAAAAGGCCTATACCCTTTCCCCCCTCCCTCCCCCTGCAAAAAAAGAAACTGAAGAACTGTAACGCCAAAAGATGGTGTGTACAGGGCCTGCAATAATCTAGATTTGCCTAACAGGTGATGCTGGACCTTCAGATGATAAAATAATGATATTCATAACTGCTTCCTGCCAACTTCCTATTTTTGCCAATGTGCGTCCAGCTGCCTTTAATAAGAAGCTATGAAATGTATGTTTGCAATTTTATTTTATAAAAAATATATATTTTTTAAGATCCCTCTGTTTTGAAATATGCCATGTTTCAGAGCACGCTACAAGAACACAATGGCTGCATCCTGATGTGCAGGTACGTATGGTTTGTGGTGCCGCAAACCTCTTTGTAGCGCCATAAACTGCACGTGTTGCATATTAAAACATGTACCCCGCAGCTAATTTGCAGTGCTGGGGCAAAATTTGCTATTGGGACTTTCTGGTAGCAAAAAAAAAGAACCTTCCTGAAAAAATAAAAATGCAACCCCCCCTCGCAAAAAAATAAAGTGGTGCAAGCCTGCTCCCTTGTCTCCATGTGCCGCTCGCTCCATATGCCTACCAGCTAGCCCTACACTAACACACCCTGTGCCCCAGCCAATCCTTCCCCTGCAGCACGTGGAGCAGTGGGACAATGTGTCCTGCTGCAAGCTGCACCAGCAGGGGCATGCACCGCAGCACAAATTAGCAGAACAAATTTGTGCCGCTACTATTTGTGCTGCTGCAAACACACACTCCTGCTCATGTGAACGTGGCCAATTACTTCAAAACTATTGCTTTCACATCCCAGTGATGGCTGCCGGCAGTTGCTTTTTTGTTTTCAGCTCTAGTCATAAAACTTTTTGCAGCAAAACTAGCCTCTTAACTAGGAAATGCCCACTTGGAACCGGTCTGTGTTTCTGTTTTAAATCCTCTTCAAGACTGATTAATTCTGTAATGCCTGCAAAATCCTTCCATTTCACTCTTCAGTTTGCTCCTTACTCATTTACCTAAACCACAAACAAATTGACTCCATCATGCCATACATCTTGCTGAGCACCTGTCATGGTGTTATGGTTTAATAGTTGGATGGCTACAGCCCCATGGGGCTAAGCACCATAGACAAAAAAAGCAATCCCTGTTCTAGACCTGGTCCCTAATCTGACCCGTGCAATCTCCCCTTCTGTTCCTTTTGCTCCTCTTCAGTTTCCTTTCCTTATTGTCAGGGTACTTTTTTAGCTTGCGTTCAGAATTGGGATCCCAGCTTTCATGTGTACGTGGGTATCTCACTTTTGGCCACCATGAATAAAACACGGATTTTAGTAGACTGTATTTCACATATCCCATGGCCCCAAATAAGACATGCGCCTTGCTTTGGGAAGGCAGAATGAAGAAAAAAACGATTTTTTCCTTTTCACTGAACTGTTCAGAATCAGTTTCTTCATTTAAGATACAAACTCCAATTTTCAACCACTTATTTTCAGCGAAAAGATGAGTGTGGTATGTGAAAAAAATAAGGTAAGTAAAGAAATAAAGGGAATGAGGATGTTTTGAAGAAGTTGTTTTATTTCTTTTTTAGAGAATAGAAAGTTGTACTTCATACCCCAGATTTCAGGTGGCTTGGGTAAAGCTTGAGATTTAAAGATAGTTCAAAAGTCTCAGAGTTACTATCACCAGAATGGCTATGGCTTTGCTTACAAAAAAGAAAATCAACAGAAGGTTTTCTTTTGTAACATCTGTGTTTATTCAAAAAGCAACAGAATAACATAGGGAAATCCCATGTCTTCCCAATTGTGTTTTAAGGGATTTCCCTATGCTTTGCAGTTTCTTTTTGAATAAATTCAAGAAGTCTTTTGTTGATCATTTAACCTGAACACAATCATTCTGGAGTGCCTGGTGACGGATACACTTGGAATATTAAGCAGTCAGTCAATCTAATTGGAAATGTCTGCTTTTCCCTGGGGACATCTACTTAAGAGACACTCTTCAAAACTTACTGAAATAAAAGGCTTTGTATGATAGTTGTTGGCTTTTGAGGACCTGTTTTCATAAACAGAGAACTGGAAAAAATAGCCAGCTTTTAATGCAGCTAAAGTATTAGGAATTTGCAAAATGCAGGAGATGCATAGTTCAAGACACCACAGTTTGTAAAGAGTGATTTCGTAGAAAACAAATTTTATTATATGTTCATTTGCACATTCAACACCCTGTCCAAAGCTCTCTGAGCTCTCCTTAAAGCACTAGTCCCAAGGTTTCCATTACAGTTATATATATTGCAATACATTGGTCAGATGAAACTGAGCCTTTCTGTTCCTTACAACCAATGTCGATGCACAGGGCCAATACATTAGAGGTCTCTAATGCATGCATGAAGTCGCCCACTGAAATTACTGTGAACCACATGTATATATCTGTGGGCAGAAATTGTCCTGTAATGATTTATTTAATGACAGAAACATTTGCTGTAACTAATGGCTGTATTTAGTAATACCCCTTATCCAAAAAGTTGGCTGACTCATAAACCTGCTAGTTTTCTTTTCAAATTACTGCCTGAGATACAGCACAGTGCCATAGCTTGCTTTCTTAGCCTGAAAAGTCTACTTAGGGACATCCCCACTAGGGCTAGTTCAAAACATATGCCAGCATTTTGTTAATAACCGAATCATACCATGGACAAGACTCCAGGCTATATCCTGTACCATAAACCTGTATAATTCCTAGGAGCAATGACAGGATTTATATGCTTTCAACAAAGAGGAAAAAAATAAAATTGCATATATTAAAATGAACTTCCTGTTTGTGCAAATGAGGGACATACACAGAATATATTATATATATGGTTTAGACTACTGCAGAATAGCAGAACAAGATAACAGAGACTTCTTTTAGAAACTATGAAAAACTGAAAATTGCATAGAGATCAAGCAAAATTCCTCTAGCATTTCCAGGGTAGGTAGGTCTGTGAAGCCTGGGCTCCTTTTTTAATATGCCCAACTCTGCAGTTCCAGTCCCACTCACATTCCTGAACATACCGCCTCGGTGCTTTTTTGCCATTTTTATCATTTAATTTTTGCGGCATTGTGTGTCCAATTTTGGGTCCCCTGCTTCAAAAAGGGTATGAACAGACAGGAAGGAGTTTAGCAGAGAGAGACAAAAATGATTAGGGGCCCGGAAGGCAAGACCTAAGAAGAAAGGCTGAAAGAACTAGGCTGGTTTAGTTTGCAAAAGAGAAAACCGAGGGAGGGTTAGATAACAGCTTTCAAATACCTGAAGGGCTATCAAAAGAGGAATGAAAGAGTCTTTTCTCTGTGGCCATAGGGGACAGGACCAGAAATAATGGCTTCAAGCTGTAGCAGAGGAAATTTAGGTTGGAGATTAGAGTGAACTTTCTGGCTATGGGGGTGGTCAAGCATTGGAACAGGCTGCCTAAAGAAATTGTGGAATCTCCATCCTTGGAAGTGTTCAAGAGCAGGTTGGACAGATACTTGGCTGGGGTAGTTTAGTGAGCAATAATCCTGTCTTGAGTAGGGAGCTGGAGTAAATGAGTTTGTGTGGTCTCCTCCAGCCCTACTTTTCTACGATCCTAAGTGTGCAGGAATCACAAAGAGGCTCTCCTTGACTATGTTACCTGTTGCTTTATTTGTATTCAAATACTTTCTGTCACTGAACTGAACAGAACTCTACTAAGACATAGATGCCTCTGAATTTCCTAATCCTCATCAATTTGGATGTAGACCTAGCTTGAGCACAGATGCGACACTGGTTGTGTTGGTCAAAGACCTTTTCCTGGCCATGGGTGAAGATCAGGGGGCCTTAATGGTATTATAAATTCTATAAAATGCATTTCATACCATTGATCATGGGATGTTGCTGACTTGCCTGCACACTTTAGTGGGATTGAAAGAATCTATCCTGGCTTTATTTCTTGTCTGATCAATGGCAATGGGTGACTGCAGAGGACTCTCAAGGCTGGCATCTCATGGAGTGCAATTCTTTCACCTCTCTCATTCATATGGGCTAGCAAGAGCATTATGAACAGCTGCAGGGTTTTCAGTATTTTAATGCTCGATTATGCATCTTGATCTTGTTCATCTTAGACAATGGAGCTCATTTGAGACAGGGCACTGATGGAAGTAAGCTAAACAACAGTGAACCCAGACAAGAGTGAGGTGATGAGGGCAGACAGAGGGATGCAGGCAGAAGTAACATTATCCCTTTTGACTGAGGAAATGCATCAGCTATTACTCACCAGAGTATGCAACCAGAGGGTGATTTCACAGCAATTACTGTGAATAATCGTTGCAGCAGTAACCAGATTGGTTTTCTGTCTATCAGCTCCTACTCATAAAAATCTAAATGCCTTTTACCATCTGCACCAGGCCAGGAGGCTGTAGCTTGTTTTTCTGGATGCAGACCTTGTTGCTATCATTCAAGATGCTAGAAGGGAGGAATAGGCTGCAATAGGACCTAGACAGGTTACAGGGGTGGGCGGATGGGAATAGGATGGGATTCAACACTGACAAGTGCAGGGTGCTGCACCTGGGGGGGAAGAACCAGCACCATATCTACAGGCTGGGGAACTCCCTTCTCATCAGTGCAGAGGCAGAAAAGGATCTTGGAGTCATCATTGATACCAAAATGAACATGGGCCGCCAATGTGGGGACATGGTCAGGAAGGCCAACCGCACCTTGTCATGCATCCACAGATGCATCTCGAGCAGGTCCAAGGAGGTGATCCTCCCCCTCTACGCGGCACTGGTCAGGCCGCAGCTGAAGAACTGCGTCCAGTTCTGGGCGCCGCACGTCAAGAGAGATGTGGACAGCATGGAGAGGGTCCAGAGGAGGGCCACTCGCATGATGAGGGGGCAGCAGGGCAGGCCCTACGAGGAGAGGCTACGGGACCTGAACCTGTTCAGCCTCCACAAGAGAAGGCTGAGGGGGGATCTAGTGGCCTGTTATAAACTAGTCAGGGGGGATCAGCAGGCATCGGGGGAGTCCCTGTTCCCCCGAGCACTGCCAGGAGTGACCAGGAATAATGGTCACAAGCTGGCAGAGGGCAGATTTAGGCTAGATACCAGGAGGCGCTACTTCACAGTCAGGGCTGCTAAGATCCGGAACCAACTTCCAAGAGAAGTGGTGCTGGCTCCTACTCTGGGGGTCTATAAGAGGAGGCTAGATGAACACCTTGCTGAGGTCGTTTGACCCCAGTACTCTTTTCTGCCACGGCAGGGGGTCGGACTTGATGATCTGCTCAGGTCCTCTCTGACCCTACCAACTATGAAACTATGAAGATGAGGCTGAATACCTCATAAAAAATGGGTACCTATCCCTTGGAATACACGGCACTGGTGCCCTGATATCTGTATCATTTATGTAGTGCTCAGATATTCTTCACTTCCTAAAGACAGGTTCAAACAAAGGCGCTGCCGGAGGAATGAAGTCTAAAGAACTAGCAGAGCAGAGGAAGAACAGCATGTAAGAGAAGCAAGTGAAGGAGAAAAGTGGTATTATGGAGCATGTACTTTGATTGTTTTACTTCCCTCATTCTTGTCCTTGCTACAGGCACAGGGTGGGAAGAGGAAAAGGCTAAGCTACATGGAAGAAATGACTTTAAAGGCGGCGAGGGAGAAACAGGAGCAGGCAAGGCAGAGCAAGTGAGGTGCCGAGAGTTTCCATGAAAGAGGCAGAAGAGTGGATGAAGGAAATGAAGAAGCCAGTGAGTCATGTAACTTAGCCAGACAAATGGGTGTGGAAGTGAGTAAAGAAGAAAGACTGTTCAGACCTTATCCACAGTGTGCCTGGGAGATAAGGAATAAGGAGGGAATTTCTTATGAGAAACAGAGACGTGAAGAAGCTGTGGGCATAGGTAGCATGCCAGGCAAGCGGCGTTATTTAAACAGCACAATTATGGTGGTGCTGTTAAGGTTAAGACAAGAAGAGGAGAGCGGAGCCTGCAGCATGGGGTGAACTTTGACAAATGTATTCTGGCAGTAAGAAAGGAGAAAACTAAACTAGAGGCATTCTGGAGATGCAAAGAGATAATCCATCAGGATTTAACAGACGACATTGGGATTCATTCATTTTATATGCACAACATTTTTTTTATGGCAGCCTTTTCATAATTCAGCTGTGCTGATGTCAACCCATTTCAGTAAATACAGAGGCAAAACCACAAAGGATTGAAAATGGCACCGGTTGGTAAGGGGTTTCTTCTCTAGGACACGAGCTAAGGACAAAATTCTGGTAAACAAGATTATAAATAATGCTTCAGTCTAAACCTAGGGATAGATAATCTCTTGCCATGATGTACGTTAGAAGTGAGACAGAGTCTTCATCCAACTGTCTGGAGTGTTCAGACCTGAGATGGGTCGGTAACATGTCCCCAGACGAAGGGGCAGTCAGGCCCGTTAAGGACGGTCAGCTGTGGGGCATCCTTCTAATGAGGGCATATCCCCGAGGAGTTTAAAAACTCCCAGAAATGCACGCCAAACAGAGGAGAGCAAGCTCTGGGGAGAAGCCAGGCTGCAGTGCTGGACAGGAGCCAGAGCAGACAGTGGCCCTTTCTCCTAATGTCCGGAGAGGACAGAGGATTTGTCTCGCTGGAAACTAAGGCTTGAGTTAGAATAAAACATACCTGAGGGATTAAAAATTTAACTGCCTCTCCCGCAAAAGACAGCAGGACAAGCAACCTGATTATTACCTAATTTTTATACACTGTTAAATAAATATTTTTATACTTCTGTGCAGGGCAGGGATAATCTCATGGGTGTAAGAGCATGCCGTGACTTCTTAGGAAGACTGAAATGACACGTGTGCTGAGTGTTGCACATTTAGCACTATAAGTTTATGTCTGTTGTCATATGTACCCACAAATTGATCACTCATGTCTACAAAAATGTGATTTTACAACGTTTTCCTTGTCAGCAGGAAGATTATATCAGTAGTGACAGCAACAGCAAAAGTGAGAGAACTGAGAAAGTTACTGACTGTCTCTAATTACTGTAACAGATGTGTGTTCTTAAATATGTATTTTATAAGTCTTTTGATAGACGATGCACACAAGGTGTTTATTTTAAGAAAGCTGGCTCTTCATACAGCACGACACACATATTGGTACTCGGATTGTCTACGCACAAATAATCAGGAAGTATAACGCAGTTAAACAACCAAAGTTGTGTGTCAAATTTGCTTGCAAAACTCAATCCTCAAAGAAGAGACCTATTTATCTCCACCTAGGATAAGACTACACTACGGCAAAACGCAAATAAGGCAGGTGTCTTCAAGACGTATGTAACACCTAATAAAGGGATTGATTTTCAAAAACATCAGATGCATGTATCTATTAAAAACCTGTGCACACAGTTGCTTCCCTAAATTTCTGTGTACACTGCAGGTGCAGGTTTTAGAGTGCAGCTGCTTAACAAACTTTTTGAAAATCACATTTTAATTGCGATTGTCAGTTTGTGAAGACTATTCTGTGTCTTAATACCCTAATTCAAACTGTAACCAGACATTAACTGGCTGGTTTCAACTTCCAAAGCATTGAGATAAGAGACTTGGAGCTACTGAAGGAGTACATATGGTTTGAGTGAGTCATTTAAGTCCCACCGGGTGAAGGCATCTTCTGAAGTCTGACTGCTGGCATGCTCTGCTGTCAGCCAATCACATCATTAACTCCTGTGGTTACCTACCGCAGCAGTTTTAAATACACTCTATTAATCAAGCCTTTGATAAGACAGATGCGTGACTGAATAAACCTCATGCAAAAACTGTCTTGCTTGTTTTTCTTCACTTGTTCTGTGACAGACAGTAATGAATTCATCTCAAGCATCCTTGTCCATCTGTTACATCCTAAGATATATTTAGAGACATTCAAGCAGGTAAGAAGCTAACACTTTTATTAGGTTTGGTAGGCTAGGTTAGGTTTTATTAGGTTTGTTGGGCTTACTATTCACACTTTTTTTTGCATTTTCTGTTCCTCTCATTTCAACTGGAATATGGATTCGAATAAATAGCCAGCTGACCACGACGTAAGAAATAATTGCACCACAGGCTGCTATTCTTGTGTTCTGAGCTACTGTAAGAAACGTCTTCCAGATCACTTAAAGAAACAGTTGGAGGTAGAAATCTGGAGAAAGAAGCTATTTTGAAATAGGCAAACATGTGACAGAGGACAGCAAATTAAATAGGATTTATGCAGCGCGACATGGCATTAAATAAAGTTAATGTGACGTCAGGTTGAATAGACAAGGACTCTGTGCTGGAATAGGAAAAATATATTCTTTTCTCTGTTCATATTTCCTGATGTATCTTTCTGTAAGCCAGTGTGCCTGATACTAGGCACCTTGATACCTGGAAGGTGCAGAGAAACTCAAAGGGATTCAGGGAACAACAAAAATAGTTAGGGACCGACTTGCAGGAATATTGATTTAGAAGGAAAACAAAGTAACTACCTATAAATATTTGAAAGAAATGCCTTAAAGGAAAACATATTGTTTAGAAAAATAAAATAGGAACTCATTAGAAGCAATGGAATAAAATTAAGAGGAGAAAAATTGAGAGTACCAGGGGGGAGCAAACTCAGATTTTGGAGTGGTCGATTCTTATTATTTAGCCTAGGTGGCATTCAGTCAGCAGGCTTGGGGAAAGCCTACATGGAGGGAGCCATCTTTTCACTTTATGTTTTTCACCATTCACCAAAATGATGGGGAAATAAACTAAAAACCAAGAGTCTCCTCAAGGCCAGCATACCTAAACCAATAATGCCTAAGGTCTCCCCTCGAATCCTGGCTGCTCCTGAAGCAACTTCCCGAATCTGCTCAACGCTCTGTACTCTTGTGCCTTCTCGCAAAGCCTGGTGAAGCCAGGTGGTTCGCCGGTAAAGGTTCAGGATGTGGCACATCGTCGAATCTGCTGTTTCCTCTACTGATGCTGCTGGCACATTACATACTGCAATCCCTGAAAGGAGACAAAAAGTATGTATGTTTGCCAAATATTTCACCCCATCTTTTCCTATTTCCCTTCCAGAACTTAAGTAATAAATCAGCTTAGCATGCAAGACATTATAAGGTTTAGTGTAATAATCCCCAGATATTTTAAGATGATGTTGACATGAATTTCAATAAAAGTTTATGGCTGGGTGGACAGTGGCAGAGCATGACACAATTCATAACTGGGGCTCCTTCTACACCTGCAGGTAAAGATGCGATTGGATCTAATGAGTGATTCACCCAGTTGTGCCTCCTCCCATGCTACACATGCAAGGGAGGAGGCGCGATTGTGGGATTGCAGTAGATCCAATTGGGGCACATTGCTAGTGCAGGGAGAGCCTGATCCTGGACTCCCCCTGCACTGGCAAAAAGCAGGCTCCCAGCCATGGGGGCCACATGCAGCCGGGGTAGAGAAACCCCACAACCGATGGGGTTCCCAGTTCAGGTTATGCCTCAAGTGTAGCTGGGACCAAGATCCCTGCAACTAATGCGGCTTCCCATCCACCAGGCTGTGCCTCACACCTAAGTAAGAGAGAGAGAGAGAGAGAGAGAGAGAGAGAGAGAGAGAGAGAGAGAGAGAGAGAGTGTGTGTGTGTGTGTGTGTGTGTGTGTGTGTGTGTGTGTGTGTGTGTGTGTTCCTGAGAAATGTCAAAAATGTGCTCTGAACTTGGAATAAGAGGTAGTGAGCTTTGTGGTAATTCCTAGATCTACATTCTGAGACTTCGCTGTAAGGGCCAGGGCAAGCCCCCAAGAAAATTCTGCTTTACAAATATCAGTGAATGCAAATTGCTTTACAAATATTAGTGAGTCTCATCACAGTGATCCTGGGGCCAAAAATTCCATGCTGAAAAAAAGCGGGGTGGTGCACGTGGCAGCAGCAGGTGCCGCCCAAAACCAGAGTCTGGCCAGCCGGAGCTCCAGCTGCCAGCCAGGCTCCCTGCGTCCAGCTGCAGCTCCCAGAGGCCCCCAGGAAAGGCTGCTGGGCCAACACAGTTGCTGGCCCCAGCATCCCCTACCCCATCCAGGGTAACCTGCCGCACACCAGAGCATGTGTGGCAAAGACGTTCCCTGGGGACAAGTCCCCGGGGAAGCGCACGTTCCAGCTCATTTGGACATGCCCTAGGAGCCCAGATGTGGTGTCCTTGCTGTAACTATTAAAGAAACACCAAACGTAAGCCTTCAGACAGAGATGTGCTCAGAGCTACTGCAAGGTGCTTAAAGACAGTTCAAGGTAAGGAGCAACTGACAATTGCCAGTCCCAACTGAGCAAGGGATGGTGTAAAGAGACAGCAAAACTCCCACAGATGTTATCATTCAATTTGATTCTACTATGTTCAGTGGGAGTCGAGAAAAACATTGAAAACAAATATGGATCAGACCCATGTTACATACCTACCTTTCTGTAGATTTCCAGACAGTACTTTCCTTTCACACTGCAGTTAACCAAAAATAGTTAGGCAAAGCCTAAAATTGTGATTTCTTTCAAAAATGATTTGTCCCATTTGACCTATTCCCTCCTTTCATGTTTCGAAGTGTGAAATGCTCTCTCTCACCTCACCAGCTCTGATCCCTGGAAAGTTTACAATCAGGTAGCTGTGGATACTTATTGCATAGAGCATACTGGATTATCTCTGCAGAGGTGAAAAAGGCCTTTTATTCTTTATGTAGGCATTAGTGTGCATTTTACTATATTTACACAAAAACAATTTTAAAAGGCTGCTTCCATTAATATAGTAAGCAGCTGACCAAGTATATTGGCCTAAGGGGAAAACCACAGCGCAGCTTTAATATCATCAGCTTCAAATATTATCAGCTTTGTATCTTAGCAGGCAAAGAGAAAGAACAACAGTCTCTTTCACAGGAACAATGACATTAAATGTGATAATCAGCTCAAACTTGTATCCGTTTTTTTTTTTTTAAGATTCAAATTCCTCTGCTCAACAGTGCTGTAGCTTTACTACTTTCTGAGATCAATAAAAAAAAAAAAAAAAATCAGTGTAGGGAAGCTGCATAACTATGTTTCTTCCCATTCTTGTGCAGAGTCACTGTCTGCTGAGTCACTGCTCTTACACTTACTAAGATAAAACTGCTTCCTTTACTGGCAGATCATTCCTGGCATCCCACTAACATGAATGGTAGTGTGAATCCCAACATATTTTAAAATTAAAATAGGCAGAAAATAAGTATTCTTATTTGACTGGAGAGAAACTCTTCTTTAAATGCATCGTATCAAAGGGCTGAATTTGTTTAAACAAGAAAAAAAAAGGCATTTGTAATGGAGCAGAAATGGAAATTTCACTGGCATCACTAAATTTTTAGGAACACATATTTTAATGACCCACATCAAACAAACAAGACTTTCTAAGGGATGGAAATGTTACAATATTTATCTTCTCGAGAAAGAAAGAAACAAGGAAATTGCACCCACCTTTCAGGTTTCCTTGCCATTGATACAGTTTTGCCTAAGCAGCTATGGGTAACCTGTTCCCTAAAATAATGGGGGGGGGACCTGCCTCTCTTCTACTTCTGTATAATTTATTCCTCAAAGAAAGCTACGTTAAAGGGCTTGCCCAGCAGGAGGAGGGTAAGAATAAGACATATCATAAGAAATGGGATATGGCTTTCTAAGGCAAGCAATCATCTCAAATTTTCTGGGACAATCTGGAATTTTAGAATTGGCCCATTTCTTTTTACTTCAATTTTTACAAAATAGGCAAAGTTAAAGAAGTCTTCCTATTGTAAAAGTGCATCTGGAGAGGGTGAGATCTGAATCTCTTAGGAATTTCTTCTCCTCTTGGCAACTACCTTTTAACACAGTTAATATGTACATCATGAAGCACAAAGCCACAACTGTGTCTAAGCTTACAAAATAGTGATAGGCTTGAAGTAAAATCCTTGAGGCAACCTCATTGCCCCAAGGTTCCCTGGAACCAGAGTTTTGCAAGGGTATATGCAGGGATGTCACGAGGGCTTGACTAATTCCCCTGGACAATTCCCAGTGTTTCACTGAGGGTTGTGCTGAGATGCTATAATAGTCCACATGGGCTAATGAGCCTTACTGCTCATCAGAGCTATTACCCAACCCAACCCACAGTGCTACACCAAGGTAGTACTACACTCAATCCAAACCTGCCCTTCTGTGTCCAGAGACATGCAGTGGGCATCAGATCTCTAGAGAGTCATGGATTCTGGTTCCCCAAAATTGGTCACCTTAGGCTTCCTCACTTTCCTGAGAAAACAGTCCCATTTATTCTTATTTTTTTCTCTTGGGTGAAAATATCTTGTGCCTTTCTTCCAAGTGCTTTTTCCAGTCTTGTCTCTGCTTTGAGGGGTCTGGCCTGAAGAATCGCTCTTTGAGAGACTGAAGGTAAGCTGGCTACAGCCCATGCACCTACCCTTGGCCTGGCCCACTCATTTCTCTCTTATGAAACACTTCTGTGTGCCAGGTTTTTGCTCAGACTGCAAACAGTAGTGCAAAAAATGTCAATTTTTAAAGCGTTTCGACAGAAGAGACTTGGCTTCTTTTTCATTAAAATCAAAAACGGCAACATGGAAATAATACAGTTGTCATCATGTCTACCTACGTGTAAAAAACCTCCCCACTGAGCAGGTTTCTGTTATAATACCTGGAATTCAGAATAGATTTTCTGAGCAACCCCACCCTACTAGAAGACCTGCTTCCACAGCACATTTCATTAGCAGATTAAGGTACTTAACAGACAGTAATTAACTCTCATATCACCTCAGTATGGTATGTACTATTTAAATCAGTTCTGCAAATGGAAAAATGAGTGAAACTGTAAGTGATTTGCCTAAGTAGTTATCTCCAAGTCCCTTGCTCTACCCACTATGACCACACAGGGCATAAACAATAAAACTTTTTATTTTAATCAGTATAAAAGTAGAAACTGTAAGCAGACAAATGGTTGAAGATGAGTATGAACCAATACCCTGGGTCCTATCTTTACTACTTAGTCTTGGATCTCCATGGACTTGGGGTTTAGATCTAGGATTTTACTTCAAGCCTATCACTATTTTGTAAGCCTAGACACAGTTGTGGCTTCGTGCTTCATGATATACGTATTAACCGTGTTAAGGTTAATGGGAATTGAAGGTAGTTGCCAAGAGGAGAAGACATTCCTAAGAGATTCAGATCTCACCCTCTCCAGATGCATTTTTACAATAGGAAAACTTCTTTGATTTTGCCTATTTTGTAAAAATTGAAGTAAAAAAAAAACAGGCCAAAAACCCTCTTATCTACTAGAAAACTACCCAGTACTGCAATCATTTTATATTTCAGTGGGAATACTTACATCAGCAAGTATTATACTAGAGGACAAATGTTACCAGGGCCTAAATTTAAGACGCGCACGCAAAAAAAATCTTTGTTTTTTTTTTTTTGTTCTCCCAGCTTACATAGAAAAATTGAAGAAATAACTTACTTTGCGAATACAGCTTAGGCTTTGATTGTTCTGAAAGAACTCGGGCTTCAGTTTTTCAATTATGGTACAGTGAGGACCCTCTCTTCAAATTTCCTAGTGTTTTAGTTTATTTTTTAGTCATTACGATTGATTCGCTCCTAAAATTGATATGCTTGATTTGTTGAAGTCTTCTGAACTACATTTTATACCTCAACACAAGTACTAGATAATGGGTAATGTTCTCATTTTATTTTCTTCAAACTAAATAGTTTGCTATAATATTGATAGGCTTATAAATTGTGATTGGATTACAGTCTGCAGCAGTTAAAATAAATAACATCAGTTTGCAGTTTATGGTAAAAAAAAAAAAGAGAAAAGAGAAATAAAAAAGAGCTCAGTCTTAGTCTTGGAATTTATCTTGAACAGGCAGCCTGCCATCCTGTCACAAATCCATTAATATTATCACTTAATTAGCTAATGCTAATATCTCCATAATGATTTTTAAATACTTTGATGAGAAAATTATACAGCTTACGTATTATGTTAGTACAAATTATACAGCAAATGTTAATGCAAAGATTTATATGTTATCAAATTTCTGGAGGCAAGTTTAAGATGTTCAAGTAAAACAGTCTTTTATAATCATACCTAAATCCCCAGCAGATTTGATGTCAATGTTATCAAAACCACTGCCGATTCGGACAATTATTCGAAGTGCTTTGAATTTCTCCAGGTCTTCTCGTGTTAAAGTGATAGTGTGATACATCAGTGCACCCACAGCTTCATTTAGTACCTACAATCAAAAGAAAGAAATTGCTTAATTTTTCTGTTTCAGAACAATTGGATTTCAGCAAGTATTCAAACTTTTTGGGTCTTAAGGACCACAGGAATTAGAAGTTACTAATTTTAAGTTTATATATTTCTCTCTTCTTTAGATTCTGTCCTTCCAAATGTCCTCTCCACCTTTGAAGACATGTTTGCTTCAGCTAATGTCCCCACAAATGCACTATGAAGCCAAACCTGTGACCTTGCATCTCCACTTATATTATGGAAGTGGAAAGAACTTGCTATGTCCTGGATGATGCTCAGTACCCTGCAGTATTGCCCTTATACTGCCATTTGATTAATCATGATCACGACTGTAGGTACACATGCAGATACAGCTATAAGCATGAGAACCCCTTGGCTTTCCTTACAGTACAGTGTTTGTGTGATGGCAGCTGTCTCACGGACAGCCAGTTTTGAACTACAGAGTAACACCTCTTCATCATTCACACTGTAGTTCAGGCATTCATTCCACTGGATAAAGTGCTTCAATACTTGCACAGAGGACATTGAGCATTCAACCCCCTGACAATGGAGACTGAAACTTGACTATGCAAAACCTGAACATAAAATGCTTTCGCTCTCATTTATTGACATGGTGTTTTGCTACAGTTCCTATTACTGGAGAGCTGACATACGAGACACATGCAAATCAGTTTCTTTAAGTGGCTAGAACCACCTGGAAAGGAGAAGAAAGAGCAAGATGAAGGCCAAAGCAGTCAAAAACAAACCAACCTGAACATAAAGAGTTAATGAAATGAAGACTACAGCATCTATTCAAAATAGATTTTGAAGGAGTGGCATGTCAGTTTACCTCATCACACTGCTTGAAAAACTGGAAAAGTAAGAGTGAGGTTGGGATACTGAACCAGCAGCATCATATTCTCTGTTGCTGTATGCATGGTGCCACTATGCATCACTCAAATGATGCAGAAGATAACCCAACGTGTCTGTATGGTTCAATCTCCAGAAGCAGAAATAAACATCTGTTTCTCTTCCCTTGTGTCCATAACTCAGAGTACATGCATGCAAATTAGATTATTTATTTTAGCGATCCATTTTCTTCTTCTGAATCCCTTCTCAAACTCCCACATAATGCCCTAAGCCTTAAAAAAATCAGAATCATTTCAACTTCAAAGCTAATGACTTTATAAGGCTCCTACAATGCACATTTCATTAATATTTTTTGAGAAGGCCATACTAAATTGGCTCTGGCATATGTGCTGTTTCTGTCATCTGAACAATTTCTGCTTGGGTGAAAGTTTCCCAGGATTTTATAACATCATTTTTTTTACTTGTTTTTCTATTTCAACCAGAAATCAACCAACAAACTGTGATCCTAGACACAAAGGATTATAACTACATGTTGAAGATGAACACTTGGAGCCAGACAAAAAAAACATAGGGATAATATGCAAATAAATAGATGGCACTGAAGCAAAATTTTCATGAATTAAATATTTTATAAAATATCTTTTGGCATTTCAGCAGGTCTTGCCGGAGTGGTAACTTCTCCAGCTTCAGGCTGACTGAGAATGAATGGGGTATTAGAACAGGGGACAAATTAACTGATGTTACACTATTAGAAATGAGTGAGAACTGCAATAAAATACAGACACAACATGCAGACCATGATTCTGCAAAAACATCTAACCATAATGCGACTTGTTGATCTCAGTGTATAGGTATGTCCTGTGGGGATGATAACCTTCCTACAGGCAGCATTTACTCGCGAGTGGAAGAGAATTAAAGTAAGGATTTTGCTTCTTGCTTCCCTTCTCAGGCTCATCAGGACAGCTGTGTGGTAGAGGAAAGCCATCCTTTGATAGATCAAAGGATGCTGCTGCCCTACTGGCCCAGCCCCAGCTCCAGCCCCTGTCCAGGGGCTCAAAGGGAATGTGGGAAAGGCACTGACTCAGGCTGCAGTTGGGTGTGGGGGATCCCCAAAGAGAGGGATGCTGAGCCCAGAGCTCCCACCCCATGGGGACCATCCCTGGTATGACTGCAGGGCACCTCACTGAGCAAGTGGCAACCCCTGTGCCATCCTGCTCCCACAGCCCACCCCCTGCCCTGCTTACAGCCACCCCAGATCTGAGGCAGCACAGCTGCGGGTGGTACCTCCACCCCCCACTGCCACTGCCTGACCTGGCTAGCCAGCCCTGAGCCCTACCCTCTGCCAGCAGTCACCTGTCAGTGGCAAGCAACCCAACTCCGACAAGACCCGGTCACGGTGGACCAGGGGCTGCTACCGGTGGCAAGAGGGGGTGGGGGAGTAGAGGTAGTGGGAGTGCTCCCACCCTGCTGCAGTATGCACGTCTGCCCCGGAGAAACATCTATTTTGCTCTCTCTTGACCTAAACTTTGGGTGCTTAGAATAAAGTGTAAAACAAATCGCTTCTGCCTTGGGCTTTTTGAACGTTTGTTCTTAGCCTTAGAGTGCATCTGGCTTACGTTGGAGTGGCTTTGAGGGCCACAACTGAAGCCTGGAGTATCCACAGATTGGACCTGCCATGTTATAACATTTGGTCCTGATCAGGCTGTTGTCTGACATCCCGAGGAGGTTGCAGTCTTTCATCAGAAGCTCAGAAGTAAGGACACTTTATTGAACAGGTGACCTAATGCTTAAGCCAGTCATCTCTGTGTGTATTTATGTAGTTGCCATATTGCGACAGCAGCAATGTAACAAAAACAGGTGGGCAAGTGACATCTTTTGGTGTTTTGCTTTTAATGTTCAGGACTCTTACAGAGCTATGGGCAATTCAGGAGGGAAATGAAAATGTCAATACTATGTACTGTTTCACACCAGCTTATTTTGATGTCAGCACTCCCTACGCCTCGCATGCTAAAAGATTAAATTATGTCCAAAAGCAAAAAGAAAAGCTAAGAACTGAATTTAGAAAAAGAAATCCCATACTAATGAGAGTTAATAAAACCTGGTGGTGAATGCGGGGCTTTATCTGAATTTAAAAAAAAAAAAAAAATCAGTTGAAATAGATGCAAACAGTATTATTATTAAGGGAAAAAAGGCACGGACTAATGAAGGCTTTTATGCTTTGCTTTGAAAAAAAGGAGGATAGAAATGACATTTAATGAATTGCTCAGCCGTTACTGAAGTTCCTTGAATGTATAAAAAGTAGTAAAAAAAAAAAAAAAAGGTTACAAAATACAGCAGGAACAAAACTTTGTTTTGTATCTTTAAATATTTGTAAAAATGGTATTATAATCCAACATAAATGTTTTAGGTTCTAGGCAACAAAATAACCTTTGGCAAAAAACAGCTATGCATAGAGATGACTAATTTACTGATCATATATGATAACATGCATCTGTAAAGAATCACTGGTACCATCTTGATGGGTATATTAGAAATAGATGGAACTGTATGAAATAAATTTTTATTTGAATTTTTTGTGGGGCAGAGGGGAAGAGATGTACTTCCGGTTAAAGGCATCTCCAAGGCTAATAATATTCTATCTGAAGAATATTAACTTCATTTAAAGTAGTGTAACATGTAATACTAGCAGAGTCACACAAGACAGGCTGATGTAATGTTATGCCAAAAATATCAGCTAGTGTCAATTTGCACAAGCTGTACAAGATATATAAAATACAAACTGGAATCTCAGGTTAGCTCAAAAATGATTGAGAAATTTTTCTTTTCCACTCTAATAATGGGCTCATTTACTTCATAAACCTAAACTTGGTAGAAATATTTTTGTTTTTTATATTCAAAGAAAATGGATATAAAAAATGACACAAATGAAATTGGCACAAATAGTCCCATTCACCTACACAGTCTTTCTTGCTTTTGTCAAACATTTTGCACTGCTCCTGTGCTTTTCAGATAAACAGGGTTTGTAATGAGCAGCTATAGGCCCTTGGTAGGCTTCCTTCCCTTGTTGCCTACCCTCCAACATGGGGCCAACGTTCCTCCCATTTTTGCCAGTTGCCATACCCAATTTGGACCCTTTAAGAAGCTGCAGCAAACTGCCTGCTTCAAAGTCATTCCTCCATGGACTGGCTGACATGGTTTGCAGAACTGTGCAGTCTTCCCACTCCTCCTCCTCATACGACTGCACAACTTTCAAAATATTCTAAGTCCCCTGGGTGTTAAGGGAACCTATACCACAAAAATAGGAGACCTGATCAAAAATTACCTGGTTTTAAAGACCTCACCAGATGTTATCTGCCTTTCTTTTCAGTTCTCCCAGTTCTTCTCGTTAGGGTGAAATTACACATCACACTTGGACCACGTTAATGTGTGGAATGTGAAGTGGGGTTAAAATTAGAATGCGCTGTGACCAGACACAAGTTAAAGGTTAATACCACTTCTTGCCTGCATACCTCTGACTTGCCACTACAGTGCTGGCGAGTAGCGGTGTGGCTAGGAACCGGGATATCTGGGCTCTATTCTGGCTCTGGATGGGAATGGTGTGTACTGGGATGCCGGAGAGCTGCAAATTGCTCATTTCATCTCCATGAAGCAGACTGAAGTTGCCCTAACATAAGCTAGGTAGCATATCCCAGAGTTAACCCTTGCCTGAAGTGGTATAATTGAGACACTCACAGGGCACTTAGCTTGAATTAAAGAGCTTTAACGTGCAGATGCTCATGTAATAAGTGCTCTTGGTATGGACTAACTGGGTCCTAACTGTACTTTAGTCTTGGACTATCCCAGGCTTTCTAGGTAACAGTGGCTGACCACGACCCTAATAGCTGCGTATTCTAAATTTTGGGGGGTGGACCATATAATTTAAAGCTTCCAATTTATCCTCTGCTCCCCCCACCCCCGCCCAATAAATAAAAAACAAACAAACAAACAAACAAACACCAAACGGCCTTAACAATGTGTCCAAAGCCCCAAATAGTCTGGCTGGGAGCAGCATTCAGGACATCATGGAAACCACAGCCTTGTTTTTCTTTTCTGGTCTTCTTAAATTATACCCCACTGGGTTTCTGCTAAGAGGGC